AACAAGAGTGGTAAAGCGGACACGCCCACACGCCCCACGTCACACACCCACCGCGTTGAGGTGGTAGGCCAGCGGGTGGATATGTATATATAAACATGTATATATGTGTATATATACATATATACATATATGTGTATATACATATATACATATATACATATACATATACATATACATATATACTGTATATATGTACATATATGTATATATGTACATATGTATATATATACATACGTATATATGTATATATGTACATATATACATATGTACATATGTACATATGTATATATATGTACATATATACCTAAATACATATATGCGTATATGCATAACCGTCACTATCCACAAAGTATGGTCAATTATCAGGCAACCTTTGGATCTTGCTTGCATAGAATTCCTGGGGTTTAGAGTAGAGAAACTCGCCGATGCTGGTCTCGAGTTGACTCACATCATCGAACTTCTTATTTTTAGTTGGTTGACAGCGACAGGGGCAGATGATAATCCGTGAGAGCTAGGCGTGATGAATACGGTGGGTGGGCCAGAGCATTTCTTCAGGTCTCCTTCAAAATGTGTGGGCGAGCACTGTCGTGAAGCAAGAAGACTTTCCTCTGTTTCTCTCGTAGACCTGCAGCAATAAGGTCCACAGAGTGCACAAAGCATTGGTGCTGAAAATGGAGTTTGTGGCTGCAAGTCTCAGTGAACGATCCTTCCGAATGGCTCCAAACGCTAAGCATTGGTGTTTCGTTTTGGGGGTCGGGGATTCATGCTCTACGCATTCGAGCCACTGGCGCTTCCGTGTATGATTTATCTAGAGAACACACTTCTCGTCACCCGTGATAAAGTCTTCCAGCCATGAGTATGTGCGCCGGAAAGTCAACAAGTTCAGTCATGTATCTTTCCTCTTGGAGGTGGTGACCAACCAGGCTACTACTTATCCATTTCTCCATATCTTCATAAGCTTCCAAGGCGATTCAAATGGGCAGCTACTGTATCTCGATGGCTATTGAACTCCTGTTTCAACTCGCGGGTACCACACTTGGAATCCTCAACCAATTCGGGGAGGTGGTCTTCACTCAGGTCAACTGGTCTCCCAGATCGTGGTTTTCCGCTCTAGTCAAAGTGGCTATTTTTGAACTTGTGGTACAAACTTATTGTTGTGCTGTGAGAGGAAATGGAGGGCCCTTTTACATCACTTATTTCGCCTGTTGCTCAATTTTGATCGACGTTTTCTCTGAACTTATAAAGGAGAAGCGGTTCAACCTGTTTATAACACAACCGTTGCGAAATGCTACGGCAGATGCGGTGTGGAGAACCATTGACCTGCACTCACACATGTTTCGCAATGAACGCTTCGAAGCAATCCCCAAAGATTTTACAACATGAAAACGAAAATGTGGAAAGACTTTGCCGCCAACCAAACATACATGCGTTATTTACATACGTACGTTACATACATAGATACGTTACATACGTACATATGTACGTTACGCACATACATAACATACATCACGAAATAAATCCTACATTTTTTAACTTGATGTTTTGTTAACTGCTGTCATTTCGCCGCAATACGCGATACGAGATCTTACATTACTCTAGAAAGCGATGGGGAGGCTGGATAAGGTTCGAAATATGTGAGGCATTGGACAAGATGAAAAGAGCACATAGGAGTTGCATGTCTCGGTGTGGGCGTGGCAAGGAGCGAAACGTCCCAGTTTAGTTTCGGAACAACCCAGAAGCCGGGAAAAAGATGGGCGAATGTGAAGAATGAGTCGATAAATGAGGCGAGGAGTAACGGCCATTGGGGGATGCGGGAGCGACCTACCAGTATTCGTACTTCCTACATTAAGTTCATGGCTCGATTCGGCTGATCCCTGGGGAGAGAGCTCAGGTCAGAGAACTCGTAACTTTTCTTAAAGTGCTCTCAGTTGTAATGCAAGCGTTAGTGTGCCTGGCCAATATGGTGCTGAATACTGCAAAACAGCAGGCTCATATGTAAGGCTAGTTGAAATTTGAGAGAAATATTGAGCTGAGAGCTAATTCTGCGCAGTTGACTAGTGTAACACGGTTGCAAGCAAATTAAACGTGTACTCCTAAAAATGTGTTCTATCGATAGGCTAATAGTGGCACTATTTAGTCATTCAACTAACCTTCGAAAGTTTCATTTCAGGTAAGCGGCGACGGCAGATGAGTTGCTATAGAAGGTCTTCGTGTTTGATTCGATCACCAGCAGAGTCGTTCGGCTCATGCCGGGCCTCATTCCTTACTCTACAAAGTAGTTAGAAAATGTAATTAGGGGAGGGAGGCATCGCTTTAATTCAACACGTGGGTTTATATGCTGAGAAGGAGGGGTAGCCGACCTTAGCTGTACCTCGAGTGGTTCTTGGCGAAGGAATATATAATAGTTTCTACCTAAGCCTTAGAAAGGGAGGAGCGCCGGGGTGAGTGTTATTATCTCGTGCAAGAAGCTAGGATGGGGTGCAACTTGAATATTCATTTGACTCACCTTGTTGTATGGACATACATAGCACGATGCCAGTACTGTTCGAAATCACAGTTTCGAAGTACCCACTTCACATTTCTCTTTTCACTTTGCGGTACTTACTCTGTTCCATTAACCTACTGACCAAGTAACTGCTTTATAGACAAGAAGGAAATGTCGGATAATGCTGGTTTTGTATACCACTACCCTTATCGTAATCATTAAGTTCTAGGGACTGGCAAAAAGACAAACCGACAAGCACACACCGAAGAAGCGACACACAAAGTTACTGCTTTATAAATGAGAGAGATTGGCCTTCAGGGAAAATTTATTCAGGAAAGCACGAAATTTTTTGAATAAGTGATAATAGGATTAGAATTACTTCAAGTCATTCTGATGACTGCACGAACTCCTGGTTGTGCATTACCTGGATTGCTGTCATTTGCATTTGACTTTAGCTATTCCTAATGCTATAAATACTTATGGCATTAGGAATAGCTAAAGGAATACTTATGGCAGGTTATGGTGTTATACTACATTCAGGTTCTTTTATTGCCTTCTTATTTATCCGTTCCCTGAATACAAGCAAAGTCTAGCTTGAGTTAAAAATTTTCATATCATAGGAGAATTACGTACACGAACCAAGTGGCACTATAGTCATGTTAACATTTTCCTGTTCAATAATACCCAAAGAATTTGCAGGGAGGTTTTTCATCTAATCACATTGAAACTTGAAGTAGAACAAAAGGTTGTTTGTATGGGTAAAAACAATTCAGCATGAACAGTTCTGCAGTGTAACTACTATCGATCAGTAGTGTTACGAGCATGGTCTAGCAGCGTTACACTATTCGGACTAGCAATTTTGTTCTCAACACAATCGTTACATAATGATCAACGGCTTGCTTTCTCAATAAAAAGCTTTGTACTACAGAGTGCGCACGGACGATATGAAACGATTTCTCACAGAGGCCAGTTCAAATAACTAAACCGAAATAGCTAATCAGCCTCGATTGCCTGTGACAATTTGTTGTACACTCCTGCCCATCTTCTCTCTCATTTATTCTTTTTCTTTCTGAGCTAGAGCTTAATACCTATCACACTACTGAGAGGTCCACTTGCGGTAAGGCTAGACGAATGTTTAGGAGTGTAGGCAATGCCTGCACTCAGAAAGATAACGAGTCCAATTCCTGCCGGGGCAAAAACATGCTCAGCGAAGATTTGTAGACTTGAGCGTCAGATCGCTCGCTCGAAACCCTGAGAGAATACTGATCCGATCAGGCGCAGTAACATACAAGTCGTATGCCTCAAGGACACGCTGGAATGGGGCGTAAGCCAGAGAAATAGGAGAGGTTGTCAAGCTATATCACAACGGAAAATAAACCAATTGATATGGCGTGGCCACAGCAGTGGCGGAACCCCTCGTGAACTCTGCCGAAGCTGCCAACAGCATCATCGACCAAGTCATGGCTGAACAGATAGCAGGAGTGAGGGATGCAGGAGAGTATATCCATGGACGCACAGCAACGCATCTGTTTGCCCGGAATAAGAAGAAGTCAAGGTCCCGAGGCAGGGATAGCCGAGTGAATAAGAGTGTAGGCTCACGTCTGCACTTAGAGAGAGTGCGAGTTCGATCCCTGCCGAGGCAACTCCATGCCTTGCAAAAATTGCAAAAATGGCATCGGTACCAACGTCGGGCCCAGGTTGACAGGCCGGATGATGAGAGACCCAGTCACAACAAACATGTCTGAAGTCTCAAAAAGTGTCAGTGATAAAGCTAGGACGTAACCTGGAAGTGGCGCACGGGACCCCGGCTGAGTTAAGTGGACACTATGCGTGAGCTACCGAGGAGCGAACGACCTCGGCCAAAGGAGTTAGTTTGAATGGGGACTCTAAATTTGGGGTCGCTTACTGGGAAGTCGCGAAAAGTTGCCGATATTATGAAGCGCAACTCGAACATCCAAGTCCTATGCCTTCAGGATACCCGCTGGAAGGGAGCAAAGGCCAGAGAAATTGGAGACGGTGTCAAACTTCTACAACGGAGAAGGCACCAAATGAAATGATGGCCATAACAATGGCAGAATCCCTCAAAGACTCTGTCTCAGCCATCAACAGAATCAGTAGTCGAATCATGGCTGTGAGGATAGACACGAAGGAGGGGTACTGGACAATTATATCAGTGTGCACACCTCAAGCCGGTTGCCCCGCCCACGAAAAGGATTAGTACTATCTGAGCCTTGACGAGGCCATCCGATCAGTTCTGGAGAGGGACTATCTCACCGTAGGAGGTGATATAAATGGGCATGTGAAAGGAGGTGACTGGAAAGGGTGCGTGGAGGTAGGGGATCAGGAGTCAGAAGCAAAGAAGGAGAGAGGGTCCTTGCCCTGACCATAGCCCACGACTTGGCTGTCAGTCGGCAGCACCTTCTTTGCGCATAGTCGCAAGTCTCATAAGGTGAATGACAGCGGTAGAGGGAATCAACGGAAATAGATCATGTGCTAGTAAGAAGATATCCCTCAAAACTGTAAAGGACATCAAGATACTGCCTGGAGAAGTTCTGGCTCCACAGCACATGCCTCTTCTAGTAGATATAGCCATCGATCTTCCTAGAAATCGAGGACATTAACGAAACGGAGGATCCGGTGGTGGAAGTTGCACCAATTCGGAAGAGAACGTCTCAAAGAGAAGGTACTGGAAGCTGGACTTCCAAATACCGAAGGGCCGATCCAACAGACCTAGAGCAACGCTGTAAAGGTCATCCTGCGATGTGCAAAGGAAACGCTGGGGGAAACTCGAAGTGGTTCCAGAGGGGACTGGGAAACATGGTTCTGACACGATGAAGTCCAACGAGTTGTGAGGTAGAAGGAAACGGCCTACAAGCGCTGGCAAAGGATACGAGCTCCAGAAGACCTGGCTGCCTACAGAGTTTCCAAGAGGCTCGCCAAGGCTGCTGTCGCAAAGGTGAACAACCCTGAAATGAATGCCTTGTATGAGAAACTCGATAGTCGAAATGGAGGGGAGTTCGTCTTCCGCCTGGCGAAAGCGCGTGATCGCGCCGCCCGGGATATCGGGGTAGTGGAGTCCGTCAGAAACAGGGTGCAATCCTGAGAAGGCCTAGCAAGGTCAGGCGTAGGTGGAAGGAATGCTCCGACGGGCTCCTTAACAAAGAATTCGACTCTAAGATCAGCTCCCAATCGGGGTCAACGGCTGGCCCCATCAATCTCTGGAAAGAGAATGAGGTGTGTAGAGAAATGGGAAAGATGAGGGTCGGGAAGGCAACTGGTCTGGATGGAGTACCGATCGAGGCATGGAAGACGCTCGGAGAGAACGGGATAAAATGGCTCGTCCGATTCCTGAACACTGTGACCGCTAAAGGAAGAATCCCAGATGCGTGGAGGAGGAGTACTATCGTTCCTATCTTCAAGCAGGAGGAGGACGCGATGGAGTGTTCCAACTACCGTGGAATCAGGTTACTGCTCACACGATGAAACTGTACGAGCGGCTAGTCGACTCAAAATGCAGATCCCAATCTCGCAAGGGCATTCGGCTTCATACCTGAGAGGTCTACAACGGATGCCTTCTTCATAGCTAGGCAAGTTACGGAGAGGTATCGAGAAAAGCGTTGACCCTGCTACCTAGCCTTCCTCGATCCGGAGAAAGCATTCGCCATGCCCTCTGGAGAGCGCTCCAGAAGTTAAAGGTTCCAGAACACCTGATCTCCCTGGTGCAGGACATGTACGATGGCTCCACCACGCAGATACGCACCCCACACGGCCAAACCTTAGCAATAGATGTCACGGTTGGGGTACACCAGGGATCAGCTCTGAGCCCGTTGCTCTTCCTGCTCACGATTGACGTCATCACAGAAGACCTCATGGATGGACCACTGAAGACCATCCTCTACTCTGATGACATCGCTCTGATAGCGGAGAGCAAGGAAGAACTCCAGGACAAGCTCAAGAAATGGCAGAGGGTGTTGGCGGAGTATGGACTCCGGCTGAACGTGAAAAAGACCGAGTTCCTCAGCTTCGAGGAGGGAACGGAGTCAATTGTCGACGGTCTCGGGTGAGCCATCGAGAAAATCCAGGACTTCCGCTACTTAGAGAGTGATTTAGCCACTGATGTTAGCGTGGACCAGGCCGTAATATCCCGAATAAATGCGGCACGGATGAAGTGGAGGGAGTCCACCGGTGCTACCGTCGGTGCTCCAGGACTCTCACGGGAAAGGTGTATCGGACAGTGATAAGGCCCACGATGCTCTACGGCAGCGAGTGTTGGCCCGTGTGTAAATCCCATGAAGGACAGCTCCACTCCGCTGAAATGAGAATGCTTAGATGGGCCTGCGACTGGACTCGGCTGGATTGGGTCAGAAATGAAGACGTCAGGACGGCTGTGGGATTAGCCCCAGTTCAACTGAAGATGAGAGAGTAGCGCCCGCGTTCGGGCATGTACTAAGAAGACCACAGAGCCATTCGATAAGGGAGACAATGGGGTTCGTGGTTGAGGTAAGCGACCACGAAGGGCCCCAAGGAAGAGATGGCGGGACGTGATCAAGAAGAACCTCGCCGAAGCGAGGGTGACGGCAGAATGTGCCGCAGATAGAATGAAATGGAGACGGCTGACAAGAACAGCGGACCCTGGACGGCGCGGGATTAACGCTAGGGAGAAAAAGAAGAAGAAAAAGTCAGGCTCCCATGCATTCAAAAGCTTTCTCGGTAGCGACGAAGCTATTAAGAAAGGTATACGCTCTTTTCGATACTCTTCCGTCACATTTTCAGCTATGAACCGACAACAGTTGCAGTCTCTTTACTCTAAACCTAAATTGTTCTTGAGAAATAGGTACACAGGGTGAGACGCTCTCGTCGATAAGCCTGTTATTATACTATATTCACTTATGTACAGATTGTGCGGCATGGGGTTGCCTGCATTTTGTGTCCTTAACATGACTTTCCAGGCAAATTAATGTTGCGAATAATGTAGTTTTCAAAGAGAGTCATGAAGATGCTCATTAATTATAGACCACCTTTTTTGTATCCTCTATTTGTCCTTATTTTCCGAGTTCGTACTCCAATTAACGTTTTAACTTGGGTTTTCCCATTACCCCTTAACTATTTTATTCTACGCATCATTCGGTAGTCATTTCGTCACTGGCAGACCGCGGGTGATAGAATAAGTATGGTTCGTGTGGCCAGGAGGTGCAACAAACCAAATTGATTTTTTCCGTTTTTTCACTTATAGTTCATCAGTTATTTCTGATCAAGATTCTTGAATAAGTGCGGAACAAATCATACCAAAACCGTTTCTGTTGCATTTTCATTTTTTCACTGATGAAGCGATAATTCGTAAAACGTATTCGGAAACCTCCCTAATTCCGGATGATTGCTCGCTGCGGTACTGAGAGTGAGTTTGGTCTGATGTCTTACAAGGTCCCGTACAAAGTATGAAAAGGCGGCAACTGGCTCAACAAGGGTGACCTCATAGAGATAACCAACTCAGCACTCCGTTACAGGAGTTTACATCGCTAATGCAAGGCTTCGGTTGCAAGCATATCGGGAGCTATACTAGTACTTATTACTTCTTGCTCAACTAGTAACCATCAGGTTGTACTCGAATGACCTTCAAGTGACGCAATAAGTCAAGTCACCTGGCATCCAGGTGCAATGAGGCTCCAATAAGATTGATTTAGCCATGGTCCATCACTAGAAAATTGATGGATTTTAGCTGCTCAGGAGAACAAAGTTCGGCTTGACCTATTTTGGAAAGTTTTCGGTACAAACTAGCAGGTACAGCAAAGATTAAAATATTCCTGATTTCACCCATTCTTATATTCGAAGGGAGTGCATCAGTCTGCATCTGAGGAACGTAGATATGTGGCAGTGCCAACAGTGAAGAAACCAGACGGAGGAGGTCCACGTGCTGTGAGCGGAGCTTTGTCAAAAATGACGGTGCTTTTCAGATGTATTCATAACCCGATTCAATTAAGTCGCAGAGGCCAGGAAAAAATAAAAAGAGTGAGCAGGACCTTATGCTTGCTGCATGCGTAAGTTTAGCGAAGCCCCGCCCACGATGAGCGGGGCGTGCGATGAGACGAAAGCAACTTTTCAAAAATGAATGTGACATTGCTTGGAGACGTCCTAGAATGCGGGAAAAAAGTGGTTGGGGGTAATGGAACAAATGTGGCCGCCGAATCGCAGAAGCACTATAGTGGGTGGGGCTTAGACATAATTCATATCTCTATTCAGAAACTTTCTGGGATGCGGCAAAAAGATGTTAAGATGTGAAAGAACAAATGTGGTCAAATCCCAGAACTGGGCGGGTTTGCCACTATCCTCACTCTAAATAATCCAAAAGTTTGGTGTGTCTGTTCGTATGTGTGTTTGCCTGCCTGTTACACAATCCGTTTTACCTGAAAAAACACATTTAAAGGTCGGGACAAGTTTGGGATGGATAGAGTCCAAGACAAAATCGGCAGAGCGCACTCGAGCTCTGCGGAGCTTTGTCCACGGGGGTCGGGGCAAGTGCCGGAATGGGCAATACCAACAGTCAAGCATCTTATTTTTGCTTCGAAAAACTCAGAATGGGCGGTACTTACCAGATGTATTCATAACTCGATTCAATTAAGGCGCAGAGGCCAGAAAAATAAAAAATAAAAAGTAAGCAGGGTCCTGTGCCGGCTGCATGCGTGAGCTTAGCGGACCTCCTCCCACGGGGGGGGGGGG